GCTTACTCTATTCTCATCAGTTATCGGGTCGGGCCGGAACATGGATGGGTGGATTCGCTGTGAGGGGTGATAAATGTTTCGATTGCGATTGCGATTCTAAATATACTCCTACTGCAGGTTGTCCTAAGAGTACTATATGGTGTTTGGTTCATTTTGCGGAGTGAGCGGGGTGGAGGTTTTATTGTTCTGGCCGTTCCTGCATGTGCAGTACTGGTGCAGTACTTGGTTCTCGGACGTGGTCAGAAAGGGGCGGAAAAAAAAAAAACTTTGATGCGGCAAAAGCGGGGGTTATGCCGATGGATTGACAGACACCGTGAAAAAAAATAACATAGTGTATATAGCATCTATGGAGAGGTCAGAATCCTAGAACCGGTTTTACATTTGCTGCTTACTTTTCCTCTAGGAACGGGAATTGGAGATTCTGAAGGGGTTGCCCAGACTTGCGAGCAATCCCTAACTTATGGGACTGGGTCTGCACTGCACTGTACAGCACTGAACCAAATTTCATGATCCTTACCTTTGCACGGCCTGAGCAATCCTTCTCCAGATAATTCATCTGGTATCCACTCGGGGCTGCTCGTGTCAACCAGGGGGGGTTTTGTTTTTTATTTCCCCCCAACACTCATTGAACAACCGCTCACCTACCCCGTTAGGATCTTGTTGATACTTTTCTTCTTCTTCCGCTCTTTATAACCATGCCCGTGTATAGTGTAGCGCTCAAGAGGTGGGAGTTGGATTCGGGGGAAAGGGATAGGTGGGTGCATAGCATATGCTGGATGGAGAATTGGTTGAGCGTACTGTACGGGGCAGGTGTGATACCCTACCGGGGCTGTTGATAGGCCGTGGAGTACAGCACTGTACTGTACTCGCGTGGCCGAGTCGAAGCAGGACACCTTGAGATGACAATTCCCGTACAAAGTGTCGGGCTTCAACTCGGTTTGCGCGAGCGAGGATCATATCATTACCCGTGGTGGCCGACGGTACGTGCGGTGCGATATGGGAATTGTGCTATTGGGGTGGTGAGCTGGTGGGATGTGGGCATGTCGTTGGCCGACGTCGGGATTTGGGTATGGGATGTTGCATGATGCCCAGTCGTGAGAAACATATACGTACAGTACATACGCCGCCGTACCTGAAATATGCACATCTCGGCGCTCTACAGAGTGACACTTTAGCGCAGTAACTTATTACATTTGTGAGCATGCAACTTGTCCGTTAGAGGCATACCGTTTTTTTGAAAAGAGGAAAAAAAAAGAAACCCATAATATTATGCAAGTCGCGGCATAAGTTTGCAGATCAACCGGTTGATGGGGCCAAAATTGATCAAGGCCTAACCCACTTTCCATATTTAGGTGGCGCGGGTAGTGAGTGGCAGCAACAGCTATCGTAGACTAGACTGCTGTCAACCGGTGATCACCTCGAAACAGGCGTCCTCGGGGCACTTACAGTAACTTGGTCGGAGCCCCTCTGCTCCACGAAACTATTCGACCCACACCACAAGCTCGCAGGACACGAACCGGTATGGGCAAAGCGCGACCTGCACGTCATTTAGAGTTGAGCCTATCGCCCCCGCATTCTAGTCTTCGAAACAAAGCCCGTTGTATACGGCGCCATGCCATACTACTACTCGTACTGGTAATGTGCGCACCGTATGAAACTGACAAAGGCGGATTATCAGCCATTCACAGGCAAAAGAGAAAACAACGCCCCCCCTTCAACGTGTCGTAACCTAGGGTCTACCTTCTGGCCATCCAGTAGGCACTGCTGCCATAAAGATCTTATATATCATGTCCCTCTTCGAGCAAGGTAGGTTCGTGGTTTAGACTACCAGAAGGGGGTGTTGGTCACTGACAAGTTACGGTAGAGCACTGTACCGATACTCGTACAAAGGCTGCAGGCACGATAGCCTATGATGCGCCTTTGGATAGTCTTGACGTCGCCGCGTGGATCTGACTTAACCCGCAGATGAACCCTCGAGCACTTGAACACGAATGACTGCAAACGGTTATCGGGATGTGTATATATCGTCGAGTTTGCCGAATCGCTCAAGAGATGCAGCACATGAAAGAGTACTATAGATGCGGAGGTGGAAGGGGGAAACGAATGGGGTAGAAAACTTACTGCTCGGGGAATAATCCGAGTGATAGCGAATGATCCCACCCCGACAAATTTGGTTGGATTGTGACCAACATCAAAATGTATCATACTCGTACCGGTATCATACATATCATAACTTTGCCATTTCCAAATCGCTTGGCAAGAGCAAGCCTGTTGCGCAATCCCCCACTTACGATCTCGCGCTGACCACCCATTTCCGATGGCACATTCTTTTTTTTCCTTTTCCTTTGTCCTTCAGCGAACGGCATGAACCTTCGTGCGCGCGGGCGAAGCAAGGGCTGGAGGCTGAGCGCCCTACGGTACGCCACTCCCTGACTTCGCTTCCACACACACACTCGAAGTGGTGGGTTGTTCGGGATAAACGCCTGGGTAATGGGAATAAATCGGTTACCGGTAGAATGAGGACGATTATCGCAATATCAGGATAAGTTACCGTAGTCCAGTCTTTTACTCGCATCCCGCTCGGGGCCGACACGATATCTTCCCGCACAACCCGTCATCATACTGCGCAATATATAAGCTATGATAATTATTATGATAATACCCCCACCACCCTCCAAAAACACCCCACCGTATCATACCCCAACCGCCTGGACCAACGGCACAGCCCCAACCCTTCAAGATCACCGGGAATCTCTCAGCCTTTGGCTACTTTGGCTTATGATACTTGTCCGAGGGGGTTCAAAACCTGCATCTCCGTCTATTGGTGCCCAACAAGTAATACCCCGCACTGCGTTCCTCCCCCCGGACAATCGATTAACGTGACCTCCCTTTATCGTTCTGAGCGCTTTTGGGGCGTTACCCTGCGTCTTTAGAGGGAAGCAGGGAGAAGGCCGTTTACCTGAGTGATGGAGTGCTGCGATTTACCCATAGTGGGGATTTGTTATGATACTGCTCTGTTGAGATTTCTCGGGGGTGATGCGGATTCCGAGCTTGGCCATGTTAGGGCGAGTGAGTCTAGGTGAGGTAGGCAACGTGAGGCTCCTTTTTTACTTTTAGTTATTGGTATTCTTCGAGTTGGTGGTGGAGGTGAGTGGATGATACACTGCTTTTTGAGAGGGGAAGGTTGAGTTCTATTATGAGTCGTGGATAGGTAAAAGAGAGTTGGTTGACCAAGCTTTCTCGCTGACTGCAGCCGTACAAAAACCACTGAAGTCAGGATGATTGCGGCGCGGGGGTATGAATTTACCATCCACTAGCTACAAATGATATGTGATATAGAACACCAAGTAAACTGAGAAAGCCCACTTCAGCAGAGAGAAAGAAAACGCTTTGAAAACCCCAAACTCCCCAAAACTATGCACGTAGAGAGGTAACAATTCAACGCCTGCACCAAACCCGATCAAATAGAGGCCGCAATACCCGAGGTGATTACGAGACTGCAAGGACTTGTCTCACGCGAACGATCCTATCCACAGCGCCCTCAAGCACGCCGAGTCGTTGCTTAACCTCCGCGTCCCGACCTTCGAGCATTCGTACTCTCTCTTCCAGTTTGCTCCTTTGCCGCCGCTCGTCGGCCACCATCTCGTTCGCGCTCTGAAACAAGCTCGCGCTTAATTCCTCGAGCTCTCCCGTGACCTGCTCCAGGCGTTCCTCAGCTTTGACCCTGGCCTTCCGTTCCTTTTCCAGAAGGACATCTGTGGAATTATTATCAGGTGGCGGACTGGGCGGGGGACCACCTCTCCCACGCGAGGAAGCAGTGAGGAAAGCGGATATTCTATTTGTCGCTGAGGTGATTCCGGAAGGGGCATTTGACGTCAAGGAGGACGAAGAAGAGGAGGAGCTGGATGGTGGAGTAGGTTTTCCTCTTAATGCTTTCAACTCGTCTTCGTAATCAGCTAGCTTGTCCACTGTTTTGGTCGTGTGTTAGTTTTTGTGTGAGTGAGTAGGTTTGTGGGAAGGGGAATAAAAAAAGAAAAAGGCTTACCTGCGTTTGTAGCCTTTTCGCTAAGTATGCGGACTTGAGCCTCTAGCTCTGCGATCCGACGTTGTGCTTCATCGGTGTGTAGCTTTGCTCCACAGTTCTGACATTTGGTCGTGTTTGCGGTGGAAGGGGGCGAAAGTGCTATTGCTGAAGACATCCCGCTGTTCTTATGGTTGTAGTATCTCAGGTCGCTCAGCTCATGATTTGGAGGGGTTTGAGCTTCCGGGAACTTAAAGTATGGTACGGTAGAGGGGCTGGCAGGTGAAAACGCGGGGGGCCTGATTTTTGTGGAAACCCTAATATTCTAGGGGGGGTTTCTCGTTCCTACTCTTTGGCTCAGCCGGGCAGTGTCGAGAATAGCAAAGGGGGTTGAGTTTGGGGCTTTCGGGGGTGGCGGGTTGGGATATGGATTTCGAGTTGGTGGTGTTCTGAGGTTACTCTGACTGGTGGAGTTAGACGACTGTTGGCACGAGTCGCTCTATTAATGGCCCCAGCTGAAACATGAGAGAGATCTGCTTGTAGGGTATGGTGTGGGTGGGGGAGGGATGATGGGATGAGAGATGAGTGAAGGGATGAGAGAAGGAGTGAAAATGAAGCATCAAAGGGGCAGAGAGTAGCCCTGCTTGTCCAGGGGTGAACCCCGGAATTCTTGGCAATATTCCCTTAAATTCTCCATGGCCAACGCCTTTTATTGATGATGAAGTTGATATATGGTGAATATGGTACTCACGTGCTTCATGTCCGATGAATGCATTTCGAGCTTGTACGGGTACTTGTAGTTGATAGGAATTTACTCTCATCTTAGTAAGGTGTCGGGCTCGAAAAAGCATCTAGATCCTCTCAACGACCCCGCCGACAAACCAGTAGTCTACTTGTAAATCCATTTATCTACACAGCCACCACAGGATCAGTTATCGATACAGATGACACCGTTCCGAGTTCGAATTCTAATTATGCACCTATGATTATAAAAAGGCAAAGCCATGGATGGAAATACGAGAGTACGGGGGACAACAGAGACCAGATCCCGATTTAGAAAGATGCACTTTGTATCAGTTTACACCAACGTTATCAATTTTTTTATGCCGTGAACGAATACCGTAAGAGAGTTCACCAGTCTGGCATGACAGATTCCACCAGCTAACAGCAAACCTGGAAAAACCTTAATGCTAAAAAGTAAAGAGGAATAAGAGATACAAAAGCAGAGAGGGGCGATAGAAATGTAATAAGATATAAGAATCGTCGAAACTCCCTTTAGGCAAGCTCGTAAAACGCCGCCTTCTATAACCTTGCTGCTCCTCTCCTTGGTAGGGGTTCTGCTGATCTATTGCTGAGCGCATTGCCGACTGCTATCACCATCCTCATCATCTTCATCAACCCAGCCCCCCCCTCCAGCTTCATCCGAGTTGCCAAACTATCCAATACTTCGTTAGCAAGCCTGTTCCATCCATATTCATGTTATTGAAGACTCACATCGTCGATATCACCGTTTGGATCAAACGTCACATCGTCCACTTGCTCTGCTTGTACTTCCACACCGGTCCATTCGGGTAGAACCTTTCTGATACCACTGACGTCTGGAGCCCAACCATCTTCGGGAAACTCAATGTCAACAATAAGAAAGAGATCTCCTTTGCCATCTCCCTTCTTATGAGGCATCCCTTCGCCTTCAACCTTGAGAACTTGGCCTGGCCTAAGAATCTTTCCCTTGGAATGAGTGATCCGAATTCCTCTCCCGTCAAGATGTTTCAGAGCGACTCGAGAGAATCCAGTCAAAGCCTCAGCCAAGGAAACACGCAATGGTGCCGTGAGGTCAGCCCCAGCGCGCGAGAATACGTCGTGATCTTTCTCTTCCAAGAGGAATATGATGTTACCAGTTTCGTGGTCTGGGGCTTCATCTGCTTCACCTTGTAGAACAATCTTGTCGCCCTCCTTAGAACCACGAGGAATGTATATTTCCAGAACCTTCCTTTCCTCAACCACGCAATTCCCTTTGCATTTCTTGCAGCGATCCTTTTCTCGAAAAACATCTCCGCTTCCTTTGCATGATACACAAATTACATTTTCTTGGGTGACGATACCACGACCGACTTGGCGAAGATTCTGGTTCCAACCGCGGCCAGAACAAGTTGCGCATTTTTTAGCCTTGGCTTTGTCTTTTCCACCAGACCTAAATGCGAATGGTTAATGCGAATTTCTGTGGAGCAACTGGAAACGAGCCTACCCTTTACAGAGAGAGCACAGAATACTTCTAGTACTAGCCAGCTTGACAGTCTTGCCTTTGTACAGTTCCTCCAGGCTCACTTCGTACTGTTGCACCACGTCTTTGCCTTTTTGCTTTCTTCCACCTGCTCCCCTAGGCATTGGACCCATACCTGGGAAACCTCCCATTCCACCCATTCCGCTCATTCCAAACACGTGACTTAACATTTCCTCGAGATCAACATCCCCTCCCATACCTCCACCTGGAGTAAAATCTGCCATTCCAAAACGGTCGTAACGGGCGCGTTTTTCATCTATAGTAAAGTAAGACGTGGGTGATTAGGAGGAGACTGTTAGGAACAAACCATCAGATAAAATCTCGTAAGCCTGAGAAACATCCTTGAAGCGATTTTCAGCATCTTCCCTTTCGTGTTCCGGAACCTTGTCGGGGTGAGATGAGAGAGCGGCCTGTGGGGATAGAAAAGGAAGCTCAGTTAGCACTGCAGAGTTTGGGGGCCTCGAAGCGGTGTTTGTACCGGTTGGGTCTAAATATGCGAAAAGAGAAGAGGAGTCAGAACTTTATGATAGGCCTTCTTGATTTCAGCTTTTGTAGCACTCGATTCTATTCCAAGAATCTCGTACAGATCTATGGATTCCGCTTCAGTTGAGCCGTTCACTAGTATTGTTGAGTGATGTTAGAAGGGGTGTCTCGGACTCAATGCTGGAAGGGGCAGCATACTTGTACTTTTGGTGAGTAATTAGGAAGGAATTAGGGAAGAAACTATTCGAAGTGGAGAACGGAGGAAAGAGAAAGAAGAACAGCTGCTGAGGTTGTGTGCACGCTGACAGTGTTGGAGATCGCGAGCAGAAGGTGGAAGAAAGAGTTGGTGGATAAGGTGCGGTAAATGATTGTGGTGGAAATTTTTGGCAAGCAAGATGGTGCAGTAAGGTTTATCACTAGAAGAGATGCGATAGACAAGACGCGGCTCTTCAAGATGTTATCATATGCCTTCCTGCCTGCCAATGAAATGCGCGGGCTCCATGTAAATAAATGCTGGGCGATAAAAGTTCTTGGCACAGAAACTCTCTTTGATCTATTGACCGCTAAGGATGATCTGATATGATAATGAACGCTTGAACCGTTTCAAGATCAAGAGAGAATACTATTTCTTCATTTCCCTCATCTACACACATTCATTGGTCACATACTTCCCTACCGTGCCAATGGTGTTCATATTTTCCAAGACAATACCCAATATCTCCCGCTCCTCGCGGCTTTGCCGACGATGCATTTCTACTTCTCCCATGTTTTCGAATTCAGTAATTCGTGCATCCTCTGCCATTACTCCTGCGCGTACGAGATTTGCTCCGTCCCCTACCGGTTATTTGCACCTGGGTAGCTTAAGAACCGCTTTGTTTAATTATCTGCTCGCTAAAGGAACTGGGGGTCAGTTCTTGCTCCGGATTGAGGATACTGACAAGGTTAGTCCACATACTTGTGTTAGATAGTTCAGTTTGTTTCATTAGCTAAGGCTGGGGAAAGAAAAGAACTGTGGAGGGAGCTGAAGAAGGTATTTTTGATACTTTAAGGTGGGCCGGATTGCAATGGGATGAAGGTATACGTTACCACGATGAATTGATTGAGACTACATAGACTAATGAGTTATAGGACCCTTGGTCGGAGGAGAATTCGGCCCCTATCGACAGGTTGTCTCCTGCTCCACTTCCCTATCCTTGTATTGATACCTTGTATCATAGTCAGAGCGCACGGAACTTCACAGGAAGCATGTCGATATTTTACTCGAGGTGATTCTCTCTGGCTTGCCCGAATAGCCCCAGTCTAACATTTTCATAGGAGGGTCATGCCTATCGATGTTACTGCGCTCCCCAACGGCTGGAGGCCTTAGCTTTGACCCGAAAGCATAGTGGGCAATCCACTGACTACGACCGTCATTGCCTCAACTCTCCGCCAACGGCCTCGGCCGCGGAGCCACATGTGGTCCGTCTCAAGGCCCCTGTTCAATATCCGGCTTACCATGATCTGGTCTACGGCACAATAACTCCGGGGGCTCAGAGTCACGACCACGCAATCGGTGCCTTCGAAGATCCGATCCTATTAAAATCTGACGGTATGCCGACATATCACCTCGCAAATGTGGTAGACGATCACTTTATGAATATAACGCATGTCCTAAGAGCTACGGAGTGGATGCCATCTACGCCTAAACATGTACATTTATATAGCTGTTTTGGTTGGAAGCCGCCAAAGTTCGTACATGTAGGGCTGCTACAGGATACACAGGGGAAGAAGTTAAGCAAGAGAACTGGGGACGTATTTATTTCCGAGTTCCGGGAAAAGGGGTATCTACCAGAGGCTCTTAATAATTTTGTTGCTTTAATGGGCTGGAGCCATGCTGGCGAGAGCGATATTCTAGATATACAGAAGCTAGTAGAGCAATTCAGCATCGACGGATTAACAACGGGTAATACCAAAGTTGAATTTGGGAAGCTCGACTATTTGCAGAAACAATATGCTCGGAATCGGGTGATGGGAGGATCGGGTGATAAGGAAATCCTAGACGCGGTAGAAGCCCAGGTTCGCAAGAGATTTGGAGAAAAGTATTTACCTTACTTGCAAAAACTTCAAATTTCTCTTTTCGTTTGAGCTAATGATACGGTAGCCTGGAAGACGGCACCCCGATCACAAAAGAATACATAAACTCGGTCCTTCAAGTCAACATCCAAAATTACCTCACCACCCCAGAATTCGTAGGAATATCCTCATACTTCTTCCAAGTGCCCTCACTCGACGAAAAGCCAGCGATCAAAGGAATCAGGCAAGTAAAGGCCTTCCTCGACACCACTCCCGTGTCGGCATCCGTAGGATCCTTTTTGGCAGATACAATGTCCCAACTGGAGCAAGCAGAATGGACAAGAGAAGGATTGGAATTTATTATGGACTGTCCCCAGAATGACAAGGCTGCTTTCAAGGCCTGGAAAACCAGAATGAAGATCATTAGACTAGGCCTTGCGGGTGGTGCTGCTGGCCCTACAATCGTGGCGACCCTACTAGTTCTGGGGAAGGAGAGGTGCATAGAACGGTTAAAGAGGGTTATTACAAAGCTGGATGATGGAGGTGGGAGGGCATAATCGAAGAAGATGGGTGTAGACTATATAGGGAGGGGGTGTTTAAAACGAATCTCTTGGTCTCTGATCATGGAGTATCACTCGTGAAATTTGCAATTAACTTACTGAACGCCGGGGCCCAAAGTAGGAGGCATTCTTCTGCACTGTGATGGCCTTTCGGGTGGGGTAATTGGTTTGATCGTTGGAGTTAAGCCATCGATGATCAGTGGATTATTTATTCAATCCCATACATTAGGCCTATCACGGCCTCCCCACAACAAAGCCTGGTGGCACCAAACAGCTCTGTGCGGTACAGTGGACTCCCGTCGATTACCGCGCGGCTAGCTACCCCCGCCTAATACCATATAGGGCTCTCCGAAAACAGCGACAGGCAGCATTCCCGTCCAGCCGCGAGCCCAAAACACCCCCACTCCTACCCCGCACTTGCTTCCATTCCATCATATATCATCCTCCCCCCCAATCCATGTAGCATCCTTCCTCCGTCGCCACCAACGCTCTCACTCACCTTCCCCCCCAAACAAGCCCGACCCAGAATTCAATCACCAACCCAAATACCCATCACGGAGATCTGCACTGACGGTCCGTTCCTCACAAAGGCCGTAGGACTTGATGGCGCCGTCATTCGCTACGGCCTGCGTGATGTACGGCTCGTTGATGTGGAGTCTGATGACGGTTGGTTGGGGTGGGGTGGTTTTGGGTTGAGCTGGTGTGGGAGAAAGTGGGAAGGGAGGAAGGAGGGGGTTCTAGATAAGTTTTCTTCTTTCTCTTTCTTTATTTTCATTATAGATTCTTGTAGGGTTGCTTGAGTGAGGGAGAGGGTATGTGAAATAAACGCTTGCTTTTGTGGGCGGTGTGTGATGGAGGGCTCAGTTTCAAAGGGGGATATTGCGTTGGCGTGAGTGGGTGGGCCTTGGATGTTTGATATGGAGAAGGAGGACCTGGGTTGAGGTGATAGTAGGGTGCAATGAGTAGTTGATGGTATCATACATAATTATGATAATATTATAATACTGGGTGTTTTTTTTGGCTGGGTTTGGGGAGGGGTTTAAAATTAATACTGTTTTCGTAATTTTTGTTTCGTACGGAATCGTAGTTGCAATGAGGGACGCACTCAAGCTTCGAAAATGATGTTTGGAACTAGTGAGTTATGGAGACGGAGTGTGGTATATGACAGTAGAGAATATGATACCGCGATGCATTTCCCAAAGTCTCAGAGTTGTTGGAAACCCTTTTGGCCCCACTGAACTTCCTGGGGCGGCGGTATCGAGAGCTGTGTGGGGATCATGATGAATGGATATGCTGAGCAGTGGGGGATTCATGATATGTTGGAAGCAAGCACTGGTATGGAAGTTGGGCAAGTTGCAAGTATCTTAGGCAATAGCATCTTCTGGAAACGTTGAAGGAACCCATATATTTCAAACCAAGGGTCTATGATAACAGGCGGTAGGAATCCGGACCCAAGAGGGCTGGAGCGAAGCCACCCATCCATGCCCACCCGGGTCTCGCCCACCCGGAACGCAAGGCAGTATCAAACTTGAATACCCGAGCACAACGTGTACCATCCCCACCAATCACAAGCCCAAAACACCCCCCACTTCCTACCCCGCACTTGCTTCCATTCCCTTATATATCGCCCCTCCCCTCCCCCGACCTATCCGTCATGATCTCCCAATCATCGACACCACTCGCCTTCCTTCAAACGAACCCAACCCAACCACCTACCGCTGGGCCTCGAACCAACGATTCGTGCCTCCGCCTGGTCGTGCGGCTCGTAGCCGGCCGAGCCCCCCGATTGGTTTGAGGAGGCACGACTCGTTGGCGTGGAGCTTGATGGTGGCTGGTTGGGGTGGAGAAAGTCTGGGTTTTGGTTGAGCCGGTGGAGTAGGAAAGGGGGAATGGGTTCTGGCTAAGTTTTGAATTTCTCTTGGGGTTTTTGCTCTAGTGGGGGAGGAGGTATGATATGTGGAATGGGTGCTGACATTTGTTGGAGGGTGCGGAAGGTTCGGCTGTGAAGGTTGATATTGGGTGGGTGCTTGCTGTGGATAGGGGGAATTGGGGATGAACTCCTAGTGGGGTGCAATGGGTATGATACTGTAGTGGGTGGTGTGATACGGGTGCTTTATAGATGGGCTTCAAGGTGGAGTTTAGTGCGGGTTTTTGTGATTATTGCTATTCTAATTTTGTTATGGATAATGTATCGAGCTGGAGTTGCAATGAGAGGCGTATTCAAGCTTCAAAAGCGATGTTTGAGATTGGAGAGTCATGACCCGCAGACGTTACTGTGCTGTACCGGACCGGCATGAAGCCAGCCATACCGTGGCTGCCCAAATCAAGTCCGTTATGTTAGGACTTTGATCTCATTCAATTTTCCACTCGGTCAACTATGTCTTGTCCGGAATTCCCCCATCGAGTGATGCCTCGTGTTTACCCATCTTCTTGCCCATGAACTCCCTCAAGAAGCCGGCCGACTTCTTCGGCGTCCGGTCTCCGGTCTCCGTGTCGACAAATGTGACGCCGAACTTGGCCGTATATCCCTCTTGCCCTGTGCGCACGCACGCATCGGGTTAGCGAACTCTTTGTCAGATGAGCGTGTGGGGCATACACTCAAAATTATCCGCAAATGTCCAAGCAAGATAAGACTTTATCGGAACGCCTTCGTTAATCAACTCGGCCATGACGTTGATATAGCTACGGTAGTAGTCAATTCTGAAGTCATCTTCGACGGCTTCTTCCTTCTTCATGTCTTTTTCACCGGGGCAGATGACGCCATTCTGTTTACTGTATCAGATCAAGAGCTGAGGTGAAGAAGCTAGGGGGGGGGGGAACACCTCAGTAACATAAATATCCTTCCCGTACCTCTCCCACAAATATCTCAGGACCTTCTTGAATCCCCAGGGTACCGGTCGGACCCAAGGTAACCCGGCCTCTGGTCCGATTTCTTTCCCATCGGGGCTGGTGATAGTCTCCTCGACGTCGTGGAAGAACTGCGATCTGAAGTCCGTTGGTGCGGCCGGTGTAGTGCGAACTTTGGTATAGTACGTAGTGTAGTGGTTCAATCCGAAGAAGTCGCTCGAGCCCATCAGCAGGACCTTCTCTTCGGGTGCGAATTCCGGAAGCCTGTCTCCGAGAATTTCTTTCAGAAGGTCCGGGTAGTCGCCCTTGTGCACCGGGTCAGCGAACCAGAGCGAGCAGATGGTGAAGTATCTTTCCGCCGCAGCGATGCCTGTTTCACATTAGCGCGCACATTTGCCCCGGTCGTGCCCCGGGAAGAGGCGTACTCTGATCCGTCTGATCGTACGGCTCTGCCCAATTCGCGTTGATAACCAACCCGATACTCCCGCCCTGCTGGGCGATCTCCTCCCTGTAAACTTTCACCGCCGCGGCGTGCGCCAGCAAGAGGTTATGCCCGACGATGTACGGTTCGACGAGACTGTCCCCCTCCGGGCTCTTCGTCCGATCGCTCGACCTCCCCGGAGCATGCGCGCCGATGCAGTGACCGAGAGCAGCGTATACGTTCGGCTCGTTTATCGTCACCCAGACTTTCACCAGATCGCCTAGTCCCTCGAAGACGACGCGGGCGTAGTGTGTGAAGTCGGCCACTATCTCTTCCTTGTTCAGGAAGCCTTTGTAGCGGTCTTGCAGGGCCTGTGGAAGGTCCCAGTGGAACAGGGTCGGCATGGGCTGGATGCCGGCTTCCAGGAGGGATTGGATGAAGGTTCTGTAGAAGGGTATCCCGGCCGGGTTAATGGGGTCGGTGCGGCCGCCCAAGGGGATTACTCGGGACCAGGAGATGGAGAAGCGGTGACAATTTACGCCTGGAATTGTTTAGTGGTTGGTGAGGAGGGGGGCGGGGAAACGTGTAATACCGTAGCTCTTCATGAGGGCAATATCCTCTTTCCAGCGTATGTAACTATCTGTCCCAAAGTCGCTGGATCTTCCATCTTCTGTTGTGTTGCCCTGGCGGGAGAAGGTGTCCCAGATGGACAGCCCACGGCCATCGACTTCTGGTGAGCCTTCGATTTGTCCGGATGCTGCGAAAGTTAGCTACCAGATTATACTACTCCAAACTTGGCTTTTGTAACGTACAAGTAGCATATCCCCAAAGAAAGTCTCTCGGAAGGGTATCAGAGCTCATTGCGAGGGTATTCTTTACCATACTTTCCAGGGTTGAAACTTTTAAGTGGGGTAATGGTGGGACCCCTGCCTCATCGTGATAAATGCATCAGTGCGAAATATGCTACTTGTACAAGTACCACCCTCTGGTAGCATTAGCCGGATAAGCTCTAGCAGAGGTTACTTCCACCACTCCACCACTTGTACTAGGTGAAAAGTTTTAGCTTTACATCCCAGTCCGTTCTGGTTAGCGGAAATACCCCCCCCCCTCCATACCGTAGTGACCCGTTCGGGGGGATTTCCCGTCATCCTCGGTGAAAAAGCCGAGACAATAAGGATGGGGAAGAGGTTGTGGGGTCCGCTTACGCTGACACCCCCGGTGATCTTTCCGGGACAGGATGAGCCTGGGTGAGGCACTTGACCGAGCAGCGAGATTGCGAAAGCCACTCATGGTCTTACCGGTACTGTACGGAATGCAAGGGAAAAAACGACAGTACTAGTACTTCTATGGTTTTTTGATAGCCATAATGCGGTAGTACCATAGGATCTCAACTGGTTGAACTATGTCTTATGTTGTTCGAGTTGCCTCCCTTGGTGGGGTCCAGTGTTCACTCCCGGCCCCTTGGCCTCTCAGGGGGCAGGATAACTCGGCTTTGACTGTGCTTCTCTCCTTTCTAGAGAGGGAAGTCCCGAGCTGCCCGGAACATCGTTCAATCACACGTATATTTGAGATCCCGTTGTGTGCTCGAGCACAGTACCGGTACCGTGTCGTATTCGTTCAGCGTAGCGGTACTTGTTTGATACAGTAAAAGGGAAATCGGAAGATGAGACACGGGATTCTGGAGGACTGATGTGAGCGTCGGGTGACTCCAGCCAATCGGTTTCCGTGTTTCTGCTCGTAACCCCACTTTTCCGATTTTTTCCAGGGCATGCCGTTCCTGGGTGGGCTCTGCCCGTGATTTTGGCATAAGGATTTAGGCGATTGATTTGGGTTTCGCCCCATTCTCGGGAGTGATATCATAGTTATCCGAGTATCGTTTCTTGTGCTCGTATTGCCCTTGTAACTCAGAGGTGAGCACTCTAGGAGTGGGGGGGGGGTGCAAAATTCCTTGTGTTCGCGGAAAAGTGCTGTGCTGGTGCAGCCATATTAGTACTCGTACAGTAAAGTTCTCGAGCCATACTCGAGTACCCTCTCAAGCACCCCTGCCCAGGGAAACGCTTTTTTCTAACCGTCTCTCTCATTATTAGGCAAAATGACAGCCTTAGGGGAGTACCTAAACACAGTTATCTAAAGTTAATGGGTACGGTCTTTGAGGGGCAAGGAGGGGTATTTGAGAACTGCACAAGCACAGATATTGCTATGATCGTACGGTAGTGCTCTCAGTGTCTGGGGCCCATTAGGGAAAACAGGAGTACTGACTATGTGCGACCATAGTGGAACTTCTATCGGTGTAAGATGTTGTACGGGTACTGTACTCTAGTACCCGCAATATCGAATCATATCTAAAAAGCACTGTTATTCCAAGCCACAAATTTTTTGCCCATTGCTCAGGTCTGGGTGGTATGCAATGCCGATTCTTTTTTTAAAAAACCCCTCAGCATTACGAGTCAGGGTTTGAGCACTTATAGTGATAAACTGGAGGGATGAGAATGGGAATGCGTCTAAAGTTCACAGGAGGGTTTCAAGCATCATCACTATCACGGCCAATATTTTTGAACCAAGGAAACGCAAGCATCATGTCAGATTGCCGGCGGGGGCTAGGGACTAATTAATACTCGAGTAGTGAACCAACATACCGGCACCGGGATTGGCCCCAGGGTACGATGTTTAGTCTGACAAACATACCGGTAGCACAGAACAAATTCCCTGGACCAGTGAATTATAGCATTTCTGCCTCCGCACAGAAACCGTAGTCGCAAGTTTGCTCGTGTCGCGGTCGCCCCATGACATTTGCCCCACTGAGGTTACTGTGACCGAAACGAAAGAGGGGGTATGATACAGTACGGTACTCGTGCACTCCTTACCTTTCCAAGGCACCGACACACTTCCCGACCTCACGCTGGCTCGGTGTACTGTACTAGGGTACTAGGGTAAGTAGGGCGACGTAGTACAAATGTCTGAGAAGTTCAGAGCTTTTGAGACAATGTTAACTAAGCAGAGGTTTTATAGGGGAAATATGACATACTAGTAAACAACACGGCATCACCACCCCAAGTTACCCATTTCCTCATGTGTTCGAAACAACATGAAGGTTAAAGGAAGCCGTACCCATAACCCACAAGGCAAAAGACATGAGGAGACAACCCGTGATGATCGCCTTAAAGTTATTGCCTTACGTGAAAATGCAGGATGGAGTTGGAGACGAATAGGAGAAGAGCTGAAAATCGATTCTCGTACCTGCCAAAAGGTAAGTTAAGTCATTCACAGAAGCAGACTGGAAAATTGCTATTAATGTATAGATATATATGAGGACAAAAGTGAATGGCACATCCTCCAATGCTCTTCGAACAGGCTGTCCACCAATCTTTGATGGAGCTGAGATTGCACAACTTGTAGCATTTATTACCCGAGATGCTCGTACACGCCGCCTTAGTTGGGAGGAAATTGGAATTGAGATGGGTTATGCCTGCTCACCAAGAACAATCAAGAACGTAGTAGAGAAGCTTGGATATCACAAGCGTATACCACGACGAAAGTTCAATATCTGTCCTGCGAACAAGCCAAAACACATGGCATGGTGTCGTGAAAGGCTTCATTGGACCCATGAGGAGTGGGGGAGAGTTTTGTGGACCGATGAATCCACATTTTCAACGGCTGGGTTTGGGCATCGGCCATAGGTAATTTGGCTGCCACAAGAAGAGTTTCATCCTGACTGTATAGATGAAAGCTTCAAACAGGGAAGGGAGTCTACAATGGCTTGGGGAGGATTTTGTAGAACAATCAAGTCAGAGCTAGTGTTTATTCCCTTGCAAAGCAAAGATGGACTCTGCAGTTTATGTAGAGGTGGTTATGGAGCCATATCTGATACCTTTTTGGCATCAGTGTTGTGAAGAGTATGGATGGGCACGGGTTATAGAGGATGGAGCACCAGGACACAAGAAGCACGCTAGGACTTATAGAGAGTTAAATGGGGTAGATATGATGCCCTGGCCAGTACAATCACCAGACCTAAATCTAATAGAAGCCTTATGGCTTGACCTGGAGACTGAAATGGGTGAAACTTGGGGTCGGATAGGAAATGTTATGAATTTACAAGCTTGTTTAAGGACGATTTGGACACAGATTGGAGAGGAGCGATTGGAAGGACTAATATCAAGTATGCCTGATTGCCTACATGCTGTCATTGCAGCCAAAGGAGGTGCAACACCTTATTAGCTAGACTTTCCTTTTGTCTTATCCTTTCTTTATATATATATACGTTCTTTATTTCATCGTATTAAGATACTCAACTTTTGGCGTCGTGGGACTTTTTTCCTGCATACAAAAACATACCCTATAGAGGCGGCTAACAGTCTATTTCCGTTCTAGCTCTTACACATACCCCTGCTTGCTACACCAAAGTGCAGTTACCACTTTTGGGTGTCGCCCGACTAACTGCACCCCCCGAGTACAGTACCCTGGCGAGCAAGAATGGGGTGCCTCGCGATTACGGGAAACCGTACTGAGTTCTTCACCACCAGGAGGGCCCAATTTGCGGTTGAATTTGCAAGCGAGATGCAATCTAAGTTATTCTTAAAATCATGAATCATAACTTATGTCCACCCAGGTATTCAATCACCTTATGCTAGTGCTTTATATATCCATTATCAGGTTAACTAAGGAGTATATGATGGCAGATATTCTCCTTATTTTGTTGATATAGTTATTTTTCAATATATCATGGTAGAATCCTCTATGTTTCTAATAGTACACAATATATAAATTAAATTATAATATATTAGAAAACTGAGCAGATACAATAATGTGAATTTGAGAAAAAGGTATAATGAGATTTCAAGTCAGCTATTGTCATATTACTGTTACAGTTATGGAGTAACACTATGAGCTGATTGAGTTAGGATATATTTATGTTTGAATAATTTTAAGAGTTAAATTAGTACCTAGTATTGTGTTGGAAGTACCGGGATCTGATACCTTGGAACCACCCTAAGTAGGGTAACACCACTTGGAATTGGAATCTCTGGTCTCCAACACCCACCTCCAGCCCCCTTACAGGGCCTGCATGTCATTATACATATCAATCTTTGTTGTGTCCTGTGACTATAGTACTACAGAATTGAAGGGATCCAAATAATACCATATACGTCGCTGCTATCTATCCAACCGGATACTGTTCACTGAATATATAAGAGGGGACCATCAGCTAGGTCTGGGAAGTGGAACAGAGTAAATCTGTCAACTACTCAGAGAGTTACTAGGCTTCAAAGATGGAACATCTTTAGTATAGGCTGTAGGTAATAGGACATTTTTGCACAAAGACATAATAATGAATGTTAGAGGATCTCTACAAATAGCCAATATATTCTTATCCATTCTAAGATATTTATGAGAGCCTAGAACTCTGAAGGACACTATCAAAGAAGCCAATAGAGTTTATAAAGTATTACAACTAGGCTTAGTGATGCGTTGTTGTTGCAGGAATTATTCCCAATAGTGAACAATGACCAATGCATCATTACCTATGATAACCAGAAGTTGCCAAAGGAGGAATCATATACCAATACAGTAGAATAGCTTACTGCGAATTAGGAGAAAGTTATCCGAATAATATCTGTCTGTTGGATCAGGAGTTATGAAGGGTTAAAGTTGGCGACCTAATAAGGTTACACCAATAACTCCTCCTGGAGACATGACCTGTGGATGAAACTGAACATTTTATTAATAAGAGAGACAATTGGGGTCAACAAAGTTCCCCTTGAGAACTAGGCTATAAGTTTGATAAACTGTGAGAATTTAATAATTACTATTGGGAATAGTGCAGTTCCCAATTGACCTAATAGTAATTACTAAAAAGAGTATGA